ACTTTCTTTCTTTTTAAAAGCTTAGTAATATTCCGGGCCTCCCTGGTAGCTTGGAGGTTAAAGACACAGAGCTATCAAGCAATCGCCAACCACTGCAGCACGAGTGTTGCAAACCCCGGTCGGCCTGGGAGCAACCCACATAGCGCAGCAGACCTCTCCTGACCCCCCGCTGCTCCCCTCAGCAGTGTATCTCAGCTGATCTGCCTGTTCTGCTCCCCACTCTGTCTCTGGTGAATCCTCTCACCCCCCCCCACACCTCTGGCTTACACCCCAGTTCTTGTATGCATAAATAACTAAATCTTTAAAAAAATTAATAATATTCCATTGTATATATTGTGTGTACACACACACACACCCCATTTCTTTATCCATTCATCTGTCAATGGCCACTTAGGTTGTTTCCATGCCTCAGCTGCTGTGAACGTGGGAGTGCAGCTGTCTCTCAATGATTTCATTTTCTTTGGATGATACCCACGAGTGGAATTGTTGGATCGTGGGGTAGTTATAGTTTTAACTTCCCAAAGAACCCCCATGCTGTTTCCAGAGTGACTGCATCCCCACCCGCAGAGCATGGAGGTTCCTATTCTTCCCCATCCTCACCTGGCCATTTTTATATCTCTTCTGAATCTCTGGTACAGCTTATTTTTGCAGCTGACAGACAGAAATTTTCTGTGTGGTGATAATGAAAAAAAAAAATGTCAATGGAAGAGAGAAAACAAGATGAAAAGGGAAACTGAAAGTAAAAGAAAGAGCCCCAGAGGCACGTGGGGCTTTTCTGTCCTGCAACTGCGAGTCATAGTCTCTTGTTTCTGCTCACTGGTGTCCCCCGCTTGCTTCCTCTGCTTTCCACCTCCTGTTATTCAAGGCCTACATTAGCCCAAAGTTTTTTCTTTTAATATTTTTTTTACTCAAGTAATATGGCATTATAACATTATGTAAGTTTCAGGTGTGCGTCAGTACAGAGCATCATCTGTGTGGACTCTATTAAGATCATCAGTTGGGGTCCAGTTCCGTCCTTCTCCACACAGTTGACCCCTTTTATCTGGTTCCCCACCCCTTCTCACCTCCCCCTCTGGTAACCACTAATTTGGTCTCATAGTCCACGTGTTTATTTTTGTTTTACTTAGGTCATTGATTTGTTTTGTTTCCGTATGTCTCATATCAGAGTGAAATCATGCTGTGTTTATGTTTTTCCACTTGACTTATTTCACTAGACAAATACTCTCTAGGCCCATCCATGTTGTTGCAAATGGCAGGATTTCATCATTTTTATGACTGAGTAGTATTCCACCAGGTATGTTTACCATCTCTTCTTTATCTGAACATCTGTCAGTGGGCACTTAGGTTGTGTCAGGCTCTTGGCTATTGTCTGTAATGTTGAGAGGAAAATGGGGTTGCATTTTGAATTTTGGATTCTTTGGGTAAATACCCAGATGTAGCCAAAGACTTTTTGTTTTTATTTTTATTTTTTTAATTCTTTTTATTTTTTTTTAAAGATTTATTTTTATGTATTTATACAAGCACTGGGTACAGTCAGAAGCGCGGGAGGGTGAGAAAATTCAGCAGAGCCAGAGCGGGGAGCAGAGCAGGCAGAAGGACCGAAGGACACTGCTGAGGGGAGCAGTGGGTGACAGGAGAGGTCCGCGCGCCATGTGGGACCCTCCTCTGGTGGCCGGGGAGCAGCCGGGGATCGAACCGGCCCTGCAGAGGCTGCGGGCAGATTCGCAACCCAGCGCTCAACCGCTGCACCACTGGGGAGGCCCTGTTTTTATTTTTTTGGTAGGCACAGCATAGTGCTTATTTCTCCTGAACCTCTCATCTCAGCTGTAGTCTTTCTTGTCTATCCAGACCTGTGTAAAGAGAACTTGGGGAGTCTTTGGTCACAGGTATACAGAGTTCTCCTGTCTCTTCAGAAAAAGTAAAACCAACACTACATGTTTCATTAATACAGTTGGTGTGTGTGCTTTTTTCAATTAACTCTACCTCAATAGGATTTTCTCATGCATTGTTTTACAAGATCAAATAAAATTTAAAAGGAAGTTTCTTCTTGAAGAAACAAATCAACCGTTTTAATAACATAGCTTTACCAAGTTGTATTTATTAGGGGAAAAGTAAACTTCTTTGTTATTTACTTTCTGATGCAAGTTGAAGACTTATAATACATTGCTTAAGAAGAATTATCTTTGCTGCCTTATTTATTATTTTTATGTACTTTTTACAGAAGTAACACTGCATTATAACTTTATATAAGTTTCAGCAGTTCATACTGTGAGTATACTATGTATATACTTCATGAAGTTCACCACTAAAATCCCAATCTCTGTTTTAATTGTTTATATCAGATATGTATCTATTCAATTTTTCTTGTCACCAATCTATCACTTCAAAAATTTAACATAATTTGAGCAAGAACAATACCCAACTTTGTCACAAAAGACTTATGGTATGAACATGAGGTTGTGATGCATCTATTTTCATTTTTGCTTAGGGATGATTTCAGTTATACAAATCCAACATATTTTATCTGTTAAACATGTTAGTTCAGGAATTTCACTTGGTTCTATAAAGATACACATCTACAATGAAAGGCCAATCCAAACAGAAAATTTAGCCAATTGGCCTCTGACCCAGTTCAGTTGTCCCATTTTTGGCTTACAAAACTGGCTTTGGGGAGAGAAAGTAAATCAGAGTAATTTTTGGTTCAAATGATCATTGACTATTGACTTCTGAAACTCAGTGTAACCTCATTTTAAAGCAAGAGTTAAAATATATCAGTGTGTACTACATAGACACCGTAGAAGACCCCAATCTAAAAGCTTCTTTGTCATGTCAATAGAATACGCCTTTTGTTTAGTGTTAACAGTTGCCTGGGTAAATTTTGTTGCTAGTTCTAATATTTCCTCAATTCAACTCTATTAATAAGGACAATTCTAAAAATTATAACTATGTCTAGATATTTGAGGCAGTGTGTGGTCTCTTTCTAAGGTTATAGGCTTATAACGCTGCTGTCTGGTTTGTTGGTTCCTATTATTCAATAGAAGAATGCAGATGTTAATTTGATCTGAAGCCTGTTTATACAGTGACTTTTATAATGTATACCTAGAGATAGAGAACCAAGTTTTATGAGATCAACATTTCTTGTCAAGTCCCCACTCCAGCTTATTCTAATTGGGACTGACCTTAAATTGAATAAAGAACAAAGAGTTCTGTAGTTAAAACATTGCATTGCATGCTGCATCTTGCCCATAGTAAATGAGAAAATTGAGACAGAGAATCTGAATTAGGGGACAGATTATATAATCTGTACTTTAGGAAAATGAAAAATAGGTTTTAAAACATAACATATCATCTACATAGTCTAAATTTAAGACATTTCCCCAAGAGATATAAGACTTTAGACATATAGACTATAAAAATGACAATATTTGTTAATTTGTAGATATTTTGCTTACTCAGTCAGACTTCTTTCAATGATAAAGCAGTGGAGGATACTTCTAAATCTTATAGCAGAAGCTATAGTTGGGTCATTGGATATATGTCCTTGGAGCTTAGAGAAGAAGCTTGGGCTGGGAGTATAAATCTCTGTGTCATCTGCCTTTAATGGCCTTGGACCATATAGACCATGGGTATATTCTCTTGTGGTAGAATATGGATAGCTAGAAGAGAAGATGACTTGACACTGAGCCCAATGCATCTGGTTTCTCTTGGTTGGAGGCAAGGGAATCTGCAAACACCTCTGGAAAACTGCAGACTGAGAGATGAAGGAGCTGGGGGTATTTTGTGTTTTAGAAGCTGAGGGGACAGCATGTTTCAAGATGAAGGGAGGGATTGTCAGAAGCTCCTGATAGGCCAAGAATTATGTGGACTGAAGATATTGTTGATGTCAGCAATGAGAGTCATTGGTGACACCAGAGAAGCTGCTTTTGTGGGGCAACGAGGGTGGAAAACAGATTGGAATGGGTTGAGCCATGCGGGAGAAGTGAGGAAATGGAGACCTCAAGTGTAGACATAATGTCAAATGTAGACATCTCTGAAGGGTTGAGCTGAAAAAGAGTGTAGGATGTAAGGCAGAAGTTGGAGAATGATATTTGATCAAGTATGTAGATACTAGTGTGTAGATATATTTAGTATGTAGCTACAGGCTAGTGTCCATATATGATATTTTTATGGACAGATTTGTACTTAATAAAAACCAATGGGAAAGAAGCATTTGAGTGAAAGAGGTTTGATTAAAAAAAGACAAATGAAAGAGAATTATAATAAAGTAGTAGCAGCAACAACTACCAATGTCTATTGAGTACTTTTAAGTAGGGCACTGTAGTAAACCCTCAGCACACAGTCTCACATTTAATTTTTAAAATAACGTTGTGTGGTGGGTGCCATCGTTTTCTCTAGGATAGAGAGGAGCTAAGATGTTGAGTCACCGTGCAGTGTCCTCTAGCTAGAAAGTCATGGACTCCCTGAAGCACAGAGCTTTGCTATCACCGCCTCCCACCATTTCCGACTTAAATTTCAGTGTCCTGTGCTGCCACTCAATATCGACTTAAATATCCTTTGTGTTAAGAGAGGCTACTTTGAAACTCTTTGTCAGAATGCGCTAATAGATCTATTTTGAAAATAATTCCAGCGAGTGACCTGGGTCAAAAAATAAAAGTCTTATCTGTTGAGAAAATTTCACCTTGTGAGTGTATGCAAAACACTGTGTCCCAAAATAGAGGCTTATGAACTGAAGGTGATTTGCTCAAACAACTCCCCAAGCAATTATGGAGGCGGAAATAAAGTCTAGGAGAGTTGTGTTTTGTTTTGTTTTCTTTTTTTAAACACAAGGACAGGAATGATGACGGGCTGAGGAAGCAACACAGCATCCTGAGCATAGTGGTCAGCAGCCTGGTTCCTGATGAACAGGGTGACATGAAAACCCTCTCTGGAAGCTTCCCTGTGGACTCTGACTGGCTGAGTTTCCTGAAATTGTATTAATACTGTCCTTTTACTTTTACTAGGGCATAATGACTACATGTGTCCAGCCACCAACCAGTGCACAATTGATAAGAACAGAAGGAAGAGCTGTCAGGCCTGTCGGCTACGCAAGTGCTATGAAGTGGGCATGATGAAAGGCGGTAGGTGCTGCGACTCGGGGCCTGGCAGCGGGTGGTCATGCCCTGGAGGCCCCTGCAGTGGGTGGCCCCCAAAGTGGGTGTCCCGTCCATCACCAGTGCTGGCTGTCTCTGTTCTACTAACCAAGGGAACTTAATGTTTTCTGTTTTCCTCTCCTTATTTTTCTTGGCCACAGAAGTATTTTTATAATATGTTTTATTTAAAAAGTAGGTAGATAGAACTAAAACTTCTAACTTGCCATTTGCATTTTATATTAGAAATGTAAATAATGATTTTGAATGGAAGGTGTTTGGAAGGTAGCAGTGGAAGGACAGGCCGACTCTCAGTGAATTAGTCTAGAACTGTTTTTCGGTGACTGTGTATGTTGCTCATGCTAGAAAACACTATCTGAGAATAGCCTTTAATTCAATTGAAACTTGTAAATAGGAGAGCTAAGTAACTAATTTATAATCCTTCCATCGTTTCACATCCCTTGTGGAATTTGACTTTCAATAAAAAAGCAGCTTTCTCCTGTGGGAGCTTATGAGACCAGCACTCGCATGAGCCCAGCATCTAGCGCGGCACTGAGGGTGAGAGGTTTACTGAGCATTAGCGACCCCAAGGCATTCAGGGTCCATGTGTGGGGGTGAGGTCGGGTGGTGGGGGTGGGGTTGGCAGTGGGGTGGAGGGCTTGCATCACTCATGGATTCAACCTTCCTCTTTTTTTAAAAAAAAGATTTATTTATGTATGCATACAAGAACTGGGGTGTAAGCCAGAGGTGCGGCAGGTGAGAAGGTTCACCAGAGAGAGTGGAACAGAACAGGCAGATCGACTGATATACACTGCTGAGGGGAGCAGCGGGGAGACAGGAGAGGTCTGCTGCGCCATGTGGGTCAGCTTACTGGCTGGCAGGGGATCAAACTCATGCTGTAGTGACTAGCAGTAGCTTGATAGCGCTGTCTTTAACCCCTGTGCCATCAGCGAGGCCCCTTCCTGTTTTCTTATATGAGGATCCAGTGCCTATATCTGGGAGTGTTTGATGCTCTGTGAATCTGGTGTCTTGGTGGCTCGATCCCCTCATCTTCTTGGAACTTTGGTCCAAGGAATACGTCTGCTTCTGAACAACCTTCAAAATGCTGGGAGGGAACAGTGGGAACATGCGATTCTGACAAAGTCCCAGATGTGTTTAGAGTCAGGACAAGACAAAGGGAGGGCTAGTTGGTGGCCGAGGCTGCCTGCTGCAGGCAGATGGAAAGAGGGGAGAAGCTTTCTGCAGGAGGTGAGACTTGGGATGAGTTAAGGGAGAACAATGTTGTTACAAAGCAATGGTGATGGTGCAGTAAACTTTGACTTACTAATCCTTGGATGGAGAGGGGCAAAGGATAAGCAGGAATGGGGAGCAGACACAGGCCTGTGGAGCAAGGAGGTAAGACTGCTCAGCTCCCTGGTCCCTGGTCAGCCTTCCAGGTTGGAATTTTAAATGCAGCATTTGGAATAAATTCTCTTGATGAACAGATGAAATGTGGAACATACGCATTGTGTGAGCTGTGACTGTATGTCTTGAGTGTCTGAAAAAGCAGCCTTAATTCAAAGGGTAATTAATTCCAAGAATTTAACAGCCACATTCAGAAAATGACACTTTGAGTCATAAATGGCTTAAATATTTAAGGAATTCATCTTTCCTTGTGCTGTTGGAAAATTAGTGAGGCCTAATTAAACTCCCAAAAAGCTCCTGAAGGTAACTTGAAAAGTGACAGGAATGAGGACTATAACAGCTACATGTCAGAAGTTTAATGTAAAACAGTGGAGTTTGAATTTAATATTCTTTTTTGGTGATTGAAGATAGATTCAGGCCAGCCTCTCATATTCATTCTTTTGCTGCACTGAAATAATCTACATGTGAATATGTCCAAAACATTTATTCTGAGGGTACCCATACCTTGACCCCACTTCATAAAACAATATTTTTCTTAAGTATATTCATATACAGTCTGGCTGCATAAGTATAAATTATGCTTATGCATATTTAATAAAAATGTTAATAGGCAAAGACAACATGAAAGTTTGTACTGTTTTCAAACAGCACTCTGGCTAATTTGCACATAGCCAGTCATTGTGCTCCCATACACCCATACATGTATATTTATGACTGAAAATTATATACGTATATCTGTATTAATTTGCTGCTATAGTAGTCTGCTGGCCTGCATGTCAATACCACAGACTGGGCCACTTTAACAACCGATGCTAACTTGCTGTCTGAAAGTTCAAGATCACCGTGCTGAAAAGTTTGGTATCTGGAGCGGCTCTTCTTCCAGGCTTTTAGGTGACCGTTTTCTCTCCTCAGAGAGTCCTCGTGTCTCTTCTCGGCAGCCATGGGCAGAGAGGGAGCAGTTGCTGGGGTGTGTCTCTCTTCTTCTGAGGATCCCAGTTCTAGCAAGAGGGCCTCGTAGGACTTCACTTAACCTTAATTTCCTCTTTAAAGGCTCTGGCTTCAAATATAGGCAGGCCATGAGTTAGGGCTACAAAATATGAATTTTGGATGAACAAAATTCAGTTGATAACATCTGTCACAATAAAATAGCACAGACTGGATGGTTTAAGCAATAGAAATTCCTTGTCTCACAGTTGCGGTGTCTAAAAGTCTGAGATCAAGGTGTCAGCAACTTCGGTCTCTCCAGAGGCCTCTCTCCTTGGTTTGCTGCAAGCTGTCCTCTCCCTGTGTCCTCATGTGCCTTTTCTCATGACATGTTTTCCCAATGGTTTCCTCTTCATCTGAGGACTAGGTTCCCACCCTTATGACTTCATTTAACCTTTATTATCTCTTTAAAGACCCTATGCCCAAGTACAGTCACATCATCAGGCACTGAGGTATTAGATATTAATTAAATCTAGATTTTAAATTAAATTAGATTTTAATTAAAATCCTATTTTAATTAAAAAATTCAGCATGAATTTTTTTTGGAGGTTATAATTCAATTCATAAAAATATTTCAAAGAGATTCCTCAGTGATTGTTCAGAATCTGTATAACATGAAAACATGTGTTTTTCTGGGAGTTTATGTCAGTGCATCTGTTTTATGCCAAGTTGTAAAACCATAGGTTGTAAGAACATCTCACTTTAATTATGTCTAAAGTGTTTTCATAAAACAATGTAGTTTATTGTCTTCTGCAACACAGTATACTACATAAACCTCTGACACCTTGTGTAACAGCTCCCAGAATCCCAATGAATAAAGAATTTACAACCAGAAGAACAATTATTACTAACTCAAACATTTGCAATTACTCATAAAGAATAAATGTCACTGAATACATTTTTACAACACTTTTTTATTGGTTTCACAAGATATCAGTTTCTTAACCAGGCTAGATCTCAATTGGAATATTGAGTCTCTATAGATGAAATAAATTGTTTAATCAGATAGAGGAGAAAGATCATACACCCGCTACTTTTGAGGCAAGACTGGATAAATTTATTGAAGTGTGGTATATGTCAGAGAGAGTATATGATTTATCTACATGAAGAAATTATTTTAATCTATTATAATTACGACTTACCCTGAAATTCCAGACATCATTATAGGTTTGGTTCTGAACCAAGATATTTCAGTACAATGCAAGATTTAAGATGTGTTTTAAGTACTGCACTTTGCCATTTTAGTGCATTGCAGGTCTCTGTCTCTGCCTACTTTAGTTTTTCCTCTGCCTCTCTCTCCCTAATATTCCTTCTTTAGGGAGACTTTCCCTGAGCCTAACATTAAGTTAGTTCTCTGTGTTATACCTTTTATAACAAACAACTCTTTTCAGAGCTCTGTCCCTATTATTGATAGTGATTCAACATCTGTTTTCCTCTATGGACTGTAAACTCCATGATGTAGGGTCTGTTTACTGATCTAGTAGTACAAGAAAGTCACAAAGTAAGTGTTCAAGGAACAAAAGAGTATGGTGCTGGAAGGAAAAAAAAAAAACACACAGACCAGTGGAGTAGAATTGAGAGCCCAGAAATAAACCCACACCTCTATGGACAGTTTATCTATGACAAAGGTGCCAATAGTCTACATTAGAGAAAGGAAAGTCTTTTCAACAAGTGGTGTCTGAAAATTGGTCAACCACATGCAGAAGAATGAAACTAAACCACTTTCTCACATGATACACAAAAGTGGACTCAAATGGATAAAAGAGTTGGTTATTAGAACTGAAACCAGAAACTACATAGAAGAAAACAGAGACAAAACAATCCATGACATTGACTTAAGGAATTTCTTCGTGAATTTGTCTCCAATAGCAAGAGAAACAAAAGAGAATATAAACAACTGGGACTATATGTAATTAAAAAACATCTACATAGTGAAAAAATGATTATTAAAACAAAAAGACTCCTTGCTAAGTGGGAGAAAATATTTGCATGCCACACACCTCACAAAGGGCTGATATCCAAGATATGCAAATAACTCATACAATTCAACAAAAAGAAAACAAAAACCCTATCAAATAATGGGTAGGAGAGTAAAAATAGGTACATCCCCAAAGAAGACATACATGACCAACAGTCTTATGAAAATATGCTTATCACTACTTATCATCGGGGAATGTAAATCAGAACCACCATGAGATATCACCTCACACCTGTGAGAATAGACCATATCTAAAATTCCAGAAACTACTGTTGGCAAGGATGTGGAGAAAACGGAATATTCGTATGCTTTTTGGCAGGAATGTAGACAGCTCCAGCCCCTATGGAGCCCTGGATGGAGGTTCCTCAAAACAGTAAAAATAGATGTATCATATGACCGAGCAACTCTACTCCTAGGTATCTTTCCAAAGAATGTAAAGACACTAATTTGAAGGGCTACGTGCACGCCGATGCTCATTGCAGCACTATTTGTAGCAACCAAATTATAGAAACAAGCTAGTGCCCAAAGACAGATGAGTGGATTAGGAAGACGTGGTCTAGACACACAATGGAGTTCTTTTCAGATCCAAGGAAAGGTGAACTCTTGCCATCCTTGACAACATGGG